CTCGTGACGCAGCCGAGAATGATATTGTGAAAACTTTGAATGTTTTTTCAAATGGTATAAAGGTAACAATTTACAGCTACGTTTTCAAACTGTTAATCTCTTTACTTTAGTGGTAGATTTATGGGCTACAGGGAGCGATGGGTTTGGAGGGGTAGATTTATGGAGGGAGGGGGTGTGGTGGTTGGACAGGCATGCATGGTGCAGATCCCTGTTGGTCTTGGACAAGGGGTTGAAAAAATAAACTTATCATATTTTTAAATGTTTAAGTGCTGTATTAAGACTACGGACTCGTGTAAAAAAGTCGAAAGTCGTGGCTTTTCTCCGGGTGCTCCGGTTTCCTCCCCCAGGGAAAGTTGCCGAGGGTCGGTTAGGATAAACATAGTTAGGAAAGTAATATCGCAATTGTTGTAAAGAGTCGAGATTTTCAACTTCAACCGTTTCGTACTGTAGCGTATTTCTTTGTTTCCTTTTCGTCTAACATTCTAGCTATACTAAGGCCCGTTTCAGACGGCGTACTTCTCATGCGCCGAACTTAATTGATGAATTAGGTACGGCAGAAGAGCGACGTATGGATCAATTAAGTACGGCAGAATTTGGATCGACAAAAATTCGACACAAGTTCGGCAGAGCTTCATCGCATTATGCGACGTTGGAGCGACATTGATTCATACGCCGCTCCACTCATGTGCCAAACTTAATTCAACTTTAGTCTAAAATAAAATAAACTTATTTATTTTGAATTTTATTGAGGTTTCGCTGGCGAATGCGCCCCAACCTTGTCAATAGCATAGTATTTGGTGCGCCGTTTGAATCACTGCCGTTCTTGTGTCGCATCTAATACAATTAAGTTCGGCACATGAGAAGTACGCCGTCTGAAACGGGCCTAACCAACTTCCATCAACAAAAATTAAAGCATCTTTATTTCCAACTATAGACCTTAGAACAAAATTTTGCTGCACAAAGCACGGAAAAGGTAAGACAACTGTGAACAGTATTCTCTCGTATAGATAAATACCCACAAATTAACCTAAAACAATGCAGTACAATATACAGCTAATTCAAAAAAGGTGGTCCTTTGCAAACCTTGAACTCTAAACCTTAAACCTTAAACTCTAAGCGTGCAAAGCATAATGGGAGCATCATTTAGTCAGTGTAGAAATCATATATGTGGGCCATCTCTTAGAGGCATGGTAAATATCCCCCTTACGAGAACAATTCATTCACAAATAGCTGCAATATTCAACTACAAAACTTGAACTTGTGCTTCCATTAAGCTTTGCGCGCTTAGAGTTTAAGGTTTGGAGTTCAAGGTTTGCAAAGGACAACTTTTTTTAATTGGCTGTATATATATATATGCGTGAACTTGTGGTTAGAGCTCTACAACTGGCCTGTGTGGCTCAGTTGGTTAGAGCGCTCCACCGGAATCGCAAGGCAACAGGTTCAATTCCTGTCAGGGACCAATAGTTGCATTTTTTACAAATGCCCCTGGTTAGGTCTAATAAATGTATATAGATTTCCATTCGATAATTTCCATCTACAAAACCCATCAACTTCTATCATATAGATGATATACTTATAACGCTTCTGTTAGTTCTGTACACTAGCTGGAACAACATTGCACATGATGTCATGTTTCTTTTCACAGAATTTCAAAGATTTGTTAAGTTCATTGTACCATCAGATTGGCGTGCTGAATGAATGTTCACGACGCGTTTCCTCGCAGTCACATCAATATGGCAGTTATCAGCAGGTACATGCTGTACTACTTTACTCTTTTTGGCAATCGCAAATACTGAGTGGTGGGCGAGACTTTAATGATAAAGCTGGGTTACTTTTAACAATAAGCTTTTGATATACAGTACGTAATCATTGAACTAACCTTCCTGAATATTGTTTACTACTGTTCACGATTTTGGTCATCAATTCCTCAAGTTCCAATTATTTGATTGAAGTACTAAATTATATTTATATCACAACGATTCCTGCTGGTCTTCCTGCCTTCTTCTTTTATGTGATCCTGTTCTTCCGTGTCATGCTTTCCACAAAATCAGAACAACAACATGTACCGTAATTTAATACAACATGTACAATACAACATGTACCGTACTTTGTTTGCTCGCGTACTTCTATGTATGACTTAGGAACTCTAGCACAGTATTTTTTCCAGCAAGAGTTCATTGTCATATAAATAGAGTTAAATCTCTCACATTAACACTTCATCACGAGTAAATAACTCTTACATCTCTATAGGAAGCTAGGATGATGTCGGGTGTGGATGTGTTGATCAGTCATGGTGAAAGTCTTTCTCGACGACTTGAAACTTTAGCAGAGAAAATCAGTGCAAAAGAGTAAGTCTCAGAAAATTTTTTTTGAGCGCTCACTTGACCTAAATTACAGAAAGCGATAGTCATATTTGGTGTTATATTAGATATGTTATATTAAATATACTTCCTTATTGAACTACTTTGTCTTGCCTTTTAGGTTACAGGAGCGAATTAACCGTTCAAAAGGTATCACAAAACTATAGCTATATCCAACCGGAATTGTTATCGGAAAGTAAAATTAATACTATATAATTAAGTTTACATACTGTAGTCCAACACCATGCAGTTAGATATTTTGCTTTAACTTTCTTATCGTATTTTTTTATTAGAATGCTGCGAGGATACACAAACGAAAGGGGTAAGCCTAAAGCAATTGCACATATACGTACGTTGTTGTTCCTAGCTGGCGTTGTTGCTGCTGTTGTTCTGACTTGTTGTTGATGTTGTTATTGTTTTGTTGTTGTTGTTGATGATGATTGCTGTTTTTATTGCCTTACCTTCTATAATTCTCATCTTCTCTAATTCCTAGGAGTCGAGTAGTCTATCACGCCGTGGTAGTTCTTTTTACAATTTTGTCTCTTCGATGAGAGCGAACGACAGCTTTAGATTGTTTAGCAGTGCACCGGCTCCCGTGGTGGCAAAAACTTCTCCTGAACTCGAAGCATTAAATACCGCAGAACTTGACACAGAAATAGCTTCTGAATGTGGAGTGCAAAAAAAAGAAGATCCGATTGTTTTGACTAGAACAAAACAGTTTGCAAAACAAAGGTTAGTGCATGAATGGGTACCCTTTTAATATACCATTGCCATTTATTATCTTTTGAAAAAAGAAATTGCGAAATTGTCTGCTATAGTCTCGAACGGGTTCGTTACCCAAAATCCCCTGCGACAAAAACCCGAATTACTTGATTCGGACAAAAAGCGGACATTTCTGTTTATCGACTTTTTGAGACCCCGGACAAAAAGTCGCAAGCGGTTTCTATCATGCAGGATTTTTGTCGCAGATTTTTAGCAGTTCTATGAGTAGAAAAGACTTGCTAAAATTTATTTCACCCTGCCAAAAGTTTTTAGACTGGCAGGCCATATTTTTCAGTCTACTTCGAGCCCTGAGTTGTAGAATTATTTATAGTGATTTTTTGTGTGTTAGGTCGTGTCTTGGGCGTTGTCTATGCTGTTCTATCAAGTTTATCGCGTTCCTGGTGTTTCTGGCTATATTTCTCTACGTTCTAATACAGTACAGTGTCTTCGATAGATATTTCATCATGAACAAATTTCACGATTACCTCAAAAGTCAGAGATTCGGGATTATCTACTACGACCACGAGCCTGCAGTTTGATAGCAAAAAACCTACAAAACGCATTTGATATTTGGATAAATTTTTACGCTAACATTGACGTTTCTTTTGAGTTTTGTTGTAATGGCGTGTCGAGGAACGACGCTCCGCGCTGAAGACGTATCTAATTTTAAAGGTGATGTCATTGTTTCGAAGTATTCTGAAATTTTGTTGCATCATATATGTAAGTATTTCACAAATTGTTTTAAATTATTTTTGTTATAGATTCTTAATTAGTAAATATGCTTATAATATATAAAATGTATACATGGTTTTTGGAAAGTATTTGTGACTATATAAAACGTGTAAAAGGACGCAATTAAATCAGTGTAAACATGACCGAAGTTATTGACCTTTTAATTCCGGATTTGCGGGAAAAAGATTGCGCAAGATGAGAAAAATGGCGGTGATTAAAAGGAGAAACTCGCTCTTTGTGTGTAATTCTGAAAAATTGCCTCAAAACATGTGAATGAAGCATGTAAACACGTGTACTGATGATACTACACTATATTTGCAGCTTTTTGATATTACGTTAAGGTAAGTTTGAACAGATAATGAAGCGAAATCAGATATTTTTAGAAATCGCAAATTGTGTATTTTAAAGCATATATTACCACATACGCAAAACATTACCATGGGACGCACTTTGCGGTTTTTCGCAAGAATTTTGGAGACACATGCATGGAGACATTGGAGACACATGCATGTGTTATTTAATTTGTACTTGCATGTATTTCCCGCCTGTGCATGCATCACCTATAGAGTTATAATTTTGAAACGTTTTGCAAAGTCAGCGCCAATCTTTACAAGAACCATAGTTGACAAACCTTTACTTTATACATTTTGCGGGGTATGTTAAAATTTAAAAAGCTTCGTTTTTATGTAAACGCTGTTTAAACTGGAATAGAAGATATATTCTGGATTGGACTGAGTTTCCATGGTAACGTCCAGAGTAACGGTTGCGTGTTAAATATATATATTTATCACATGCTTGTACCTTAAGCAAGGCGATATCGTTTTTGTCACTAATATCGCTTTTTGGGTCTTGGAGATGGAAATTATCGAGTGGAAATTTATATACATTTATTAGACCTATACTGTAACCAGGAACAGTTGCGAAAAATGCAACTACATGCAGTATTAATAAGCTATATAGTTAAAATTAAAGTTTGCTACAGTTCGCTATTGTCAAACAGTTCAATATATTATGGTTAAACAATATGCTTACATAACACGAATTTAGTTATAAAGACAGTTATTTAATTTTTGTCATACATGTTTTTATGTGAAATATTTTTTTCATAATATATTGTTCAAGCATACAAACATGGAGAGTTCATCCTTAAATAAAGATGATGCTTCTCTTTCTTATAATAGCAACACGACCACTTGGATGGGACTTGATTTCCAGAGATTTGCGGCTATTCTTCTTACAAAAGAACGTTGTGCTCTCTAGACGTTCTCCCATTGCAGTATAGCAGAGAAGAAAGACTGAAGACTTGACGTCGACATAAGTTAAAACGATTATTTTACAAAAGAAAGAGTGAAACGCGACCCCACAGACCTCGTGACCTTCTGGTACTTCTATGCGCGAAATAAGAACTCCTTTCTCCGAATATATGAGCACTTCCTTGCTTGATGACATCATGATTTCGTTATTCTCAGATATACCGAAGCTAGATATTGAGAAACCGGACTTTGGTTCAAACTTGACTTTCAACTCCCCATCGCTGTCACAGATATATACATAGGGATCATGGGCTTTGATCATGATGATATCATTGTCCTTGTTCATAGCGATTCTCACTGGATCATCCTGTATTGTCTCGAAAATATCTGTAATTCTGCGCTCGTGTTTTATATTGTACTCTTTATCCAGCACATACAACACATAACTCAACGCCAAGCCATTTTCCGTACGTTTTTGAAGCCGTGTCACCATATAAATATTGTTGTTGTTATCGACAGCAAGTCCTTTAATAATTTTGTTCGAAAGGTTTTTTTCTATGATGTCAGGTAATTTAACTACCTTCCTTTCTCCTTTCCTTGAGAAAGCCTCGACGTTTGTATGATTCATAAGAACAGCAACAATATCCTCATCCTTGTTCACGGCAGAATATTCGGGAATGATTCTTTCATCAAGTACCAGTCCGTTGGGATGTTGGCGCATTTCGTCCCACATAAACCTCTTTTTCGAAACCTTATGCCAATGTAATATGGGATTGAAACGACGATCATTGAGTTCAATTGTAGGCCAGTCGAGGACGAAGGAATTTTTACGGCTGAATTTCGAAGCATGTTGAAATAAAACATAGTTAATCCGCATGATAGATTTGACGTTCTCCCTTCGTTTTGCCGCGTTAAAAAACCTCGACTTAAATCCGCCTTTAAGGTACACCGAGAGTCTTTTACAAATAGCTGGTAGGTTATGCAGATCTCTCAAAAACAAAAGACACCCTGTCATTTTAGGACTTTCCAGATGTTGCAATATTTCAGAAATTATTCCTAGTTTTGTGGCGAAGATTCTATCTTCAATACTTAATCCTTGGTTACAGAAAACACGTGATGCGTTCTCGCCTGCTTCCTTGAATTTTTTCTTAACGTCTTCGTCCAACTTAATGTTAACGACAACGTCTTCCAAGGAGCGAGAGAGCCCTAAAGTTTCGTCGAGGCTAGCGCTCGTTCCCGATGCTTCACCGAGGTCTTCTTGACTTTCACTCATCGAAACTTTTATCTTGAGATTTGATTTATCAAGAGAATCGTTAAGAAATGCTATTCCTTCCTTTAGTAACTTGCAACTGTAGAGCAGATCTGTCCGGGAAAGAGCATCGAGTTTCGTCTTGATGTCGTTCAACTCACTCACGACGATGTTGCCAATTTCGGCGTCTGTAACATCACCGTTCCTCAGCTTAGCCGCAGCGGAACTGCGAGCCTCGTTCAATAATAAACCCACTGTTGAACTCAGAATGCCTGTAACAATAGAAGACATTCTGAAATCTGAACTCGCATACTCAAACAACAAATCGATACTAAAGTTGGACTAATAAAATAGTGTGCCCAATTACATTCACTCATGCAATATGTACAATAAATTTCCCAGTAAGACCATAATCTTACTTGGAATTTTCAACTATTATGAATATTTTATACCCTCACATGCAATTGACCAATGAAGAGTGCGTGTTAAGAAATCGGACAGGTATAGCTATTGCCACGTTTGGCGTTGTTTATCGCGTCTTTTTACAATGTTTTGTAAACGTTTAACACAAAACAAGCGGTATGACAAAGTCCAAAAAGAAATTGGAACATTAACATTGTTTACTTTGTTTCTTTAGTCAAAAATAGAACGCGGTAAACCTTGTTTTTTAACTTCATTTAAACTTAGGTCAAATTATTTTATAAGAGATTGTCGGGCAGATTTTACTTAAAAATCAGGCAATTCTCAAAAATCGGAAAGGTTCTACTGAAAAACCGAGCAAATGAGAAAGGAACGTCTTCAAATAGTTCAAGAAATATGTAACGTCGCGAAAATGTTTCACCACGTCACAACTTAAATTGACACTTGCCTATTTTCCACCGGGCGAATTTGTTCGCGCGAAGCGAAAAACAAATCTTGGCAATGTGATTGGTCAGCGAAAAATTGGATCAGTTCCTACTTTTTTACTGTTCGCGCAAACAAATTTGCCTATAGTGGAAAATAGGCTTAAAAGTGTAATTTAACTACCTTCTGAAATATGACTGGTATATACTCAAACAACAAAGCGATACTAAAAAGTGTGACTATAATTAGATAGTGTGCCGAAGTACATTCACTCACGCAATATATATAATAAATTTCCCAGTAAGACCATTGTCTTACTTGAATTTTTAACTATTATGAATATTTCATACCCTAGCTCACACGCAATTGACCAATCAAGAGTGCGTGTTAAGAAATCGGACAGGTATGGCTATTGCCACGTTTGGCGTTGTTTATCGCGTCCTTTTAGAATGTTTTGTAAACGTTTAACACAAAAACAACCGGTATGGCAAAGTCCAAAAAGAAATTGGAACATTAACATTGTTTACTTTGTTTCTTTAGTCAAAAATAGAACGCGGTAAACTTCTTGTTTTTTTTTTAACTTCATTTAAACTTAGGTCAAATTATTTTATAAGAGACTGTCGGGCAGATTTTACTTAAAAATCAGGCAATTCTCAAAAATCGGAAAGATTCTAGTTAAAAATCGGGCAAATGAGAAAGGAACGTGTTCAAATAGTTCAAGAAATATGTAACATCGCGAAAATATTCCACCGTCGCAACTTAAATTGACACTTGCCTATTTTCCACCGGGCGAATTTGTTTGCGCGAAGCGAAGCGAAAAATCTTGGCAACGTTATTGGTCAGGGAAAAATTGGGTCAGTTCCTATATTTTTTCACTGTTCGCGCGAACAACTGATTTGCCTAGTGGACAATAGGCTTAATTTTAAGTGTTAAACTACCTTCTGAAATCTGAACTGGACGATATACTCTAAGACTGACAAAGCGATACTAAAGTTTGACTATATAGATTAAATAATGTGCCCAAGTACATTCACTCACGCAATATACAATAAATTTCCCAGTAAGACCATAATCTTACTTGGAATTTTCAACTATTATGAATATTTCATACCCTCACATGCAATTGACCAATCAAGAGTGCGTGTTAAGAAATTGGACAGGTATAGCTATTGCCATGTTTGGCGTTGTTTATCGCGTTCTTTTACAATGTTTTGTTGAAATTCTCACAAGATTTTATAGAGCGAAAGACGTCGTATACATTCGCTCTGCTTGCAAAGGCAAATACAGACGAACACGTCTTGTATACAGCAGCTACATTACAAAAAAATTAGCAGGGACAACTGCAACTTCAAATCAGTTGTAGAACCTCTCCCAACCAGATAATCCCCTGTCTTGACCTTGGTCCTTAAACTGTATATTAATTTCATACAATGGATAATAGACGACAGGGTATTTTTTACAATTATTTTATTTAATATCAGCTTGATATAACCCATATAGGGCTTCATTTACAATATTTTTATACCAACAAAAAGCAAAAGTAACTGTGTATAAACCCAAAACCAATCTAAACAGTAAAACTAAACAAAATCCCCAACACAATAAAAATTGTCAAAAAAAAATCTAAGTTGAATGAAGCCAAATTATATAAATGTCCATATATGCTCGTTTACGAAAGCCGTAAATTTCTCGTAATCCCAACTTAAACTCCTAGAATTTTTGCTCGACGTTTAAACTTTTTCAACAAACGATCGATGTCCTCATAAATCAAAGTCGATGCGTCCATTCCCCAGATGAAGTCCAGGTGATCCCATGATTTGAGACTTTTACGGAAAACCAAGGTCTGGAGTTTGGGTACTAGCAAGGAAACATCTTTAGGCGTCGCCAACCAGTCGTTGTCAGCGGAGAACAATGCCACAGGTACCCGGATCTTTGTGACGTCATATTGTTTGGGAGTAGACTGAAATATTGAAGATATAAAATAGACTTAACATTGGGAAAAAAATTATGAAACTCGTAGTATGGAATTTGTGATTGAATCACTAAATCCATAGTATATCCATGCTATTTCCATACCATATCCACAGTATGAAAATTGCAATTAGTATGAAAAATTTATTTCTATACTATTTCCAACGAAGATCCATACTATTTTCATAATATGGATTTTGAAAAATATTTCCAGTGTAAAGGATAATGGTAACAAAAAAATTATTGCCTTATTTGAAAGAACGTCTTGTTACATGCAGATTCATCATATCAAACTTATAAAACTCACTAATAATTCATGAAGAAAATTCAAAAGAAATGAATGTTTAATCAATGTTTGTAAATCGCATGAAGATTTGTCCTGATTTACATAACCTTCAGCTTTTGATTTTCTCGGCTTAGACAATGTTTATTTTTAAAATTACTTCGCGAATGAACTCATAAGATGGGTCGTTTTTAAGCACGATAAAACTTTCGCATGCGATCTTTATCTGATATGCAAGCTCTCGCCTTCGACATGAGTTTGTATTTCAGATAAAGATCGGCTGCTCATGTTTTAACTAGTACTTAACGCTTGAAATATTTTGACTGAAAGCAGTGAGCTGTCCGCCATCTTGGATTAATTCTTAACCTAATTAACGACTATCACTTTGATGACGTCAGGAGTGGGGTTAGCCTTATAAAATTACTTCTAAGTTACTGAGTAACAATCAGTTAAGTTGTTTACAATGTTTTTATTCAATTCGAAATAATTTGAAATAGCAACCAAAAACGAGTTTCGGGTATTCATATTGATCGCTTGCTATCAAGATAAAAACTTGCATGACCCCACTTTAAATTAATTAATTAATTAATTTTCTTTCATTTAATACTTTATTCTTAATTAGAAACTTTAAATGTCTCAAATTTTCAAACGTGACTTTTTTGGGGGAGTAGACTCGCATCCATATAAATTGATGCGTTGCAAACTGAAGCAAAAATTGCCAGTCACAGCTACAGCGTTTATAATGGTTTTGTTTTGTGGAAACCTCACGTGTATTTATTTAGCAAAGCTGTCAACCTATGAATCCGAACTGGTATATATTTCACAATGTAGGGAACTTATTGGTAGTCATGTTCAATTGGGGCAATGCCCTGTTTGACTACCAGTTGCTTTAAATAAATACCTACTTATTTGTATTTAGTCTTGTATAGATGCATTTATGTAATTTTTTTTTAATGCAACAAAGTTATTAAATCAAATCAGTAAATCAAATCAAAACTTATTACAGCCTTTATTGTTGTTAAATGTTCTCTTTTTTTCGTTTTATTTCAATTTTGATATTTTTTGAACTATTGAAGTCCTTAGTCCTAACCTGACCATAATGAATGCGATTTTTGTATCTCCATCCGTAGTCGTACATCTGGAACTTTGCAGATCTGTACATCTTGAGAAAGCAGAAGAAATCCATGAGATTAAGTCTGAACATTTTACATTTTACATTTTACATGCTCTCCATCGGTCTGTGCCGATAGTGACGATAATAAGACAGCTGCGCACTGAGAGCACTGATCTGAAATAAGACTGGATGGCGCATCTGCTATGCATAAGTGAAGCCAATGGCGGTCATACCCGAATGGCCCCACCATTAATCTAATCTGGTGTTCTGGACATGTTTTAACTCTTCCTTTAAGTTTCTAGTCATTGATGGGAAAGGACAAATATTGCCTAGATAAGAATTTATCATCAATAGCCTCTCTTTTTTCCTAAATTACCCGGTGAATAACTAATGCCGCCATCAAATATGGCGGCCATCAGCCTCATTAGGTGGTGTATAAAACGTTCTAAAACTACTTCGAAGAGGTTTTGGAAGCTATATTTCACAAGTCACATAGGCGAAGATATTTGCTTTATAAGTCTAACTGAACTTAAACAGCAAACGATTAGACTGCTCATGAATTTGACTGATTTATAAATCTCATCTCATTAAAATATTCTGGCTTCAAAATTGGATTACTGAATTCTATAGGATGCTTTATGCAGTCTTATTTCAGATCAGCGACTGAGAGAATACCCGCGAACAGGCTGCGAGGGAGACTAAGAGAGATACAACTACCTGGAAAATACAAGAACTTCCCAACAAAGGGCCCTCCCTCGAAACGTCGATGTTTTGCTTGTATTTTTCAGGCAGCTGTTTCTCTCTCAATAGACCTTTCCGGTAATTACGTCACGACTAACATTGTTTTCAACATAGGACCACCTTAAATGGAATAGATTTCAAGTTTGTTTTTCACGGGCTATGGTCAGAGAAGCGTTTGCACATGACGTCACAGCCGCCATGTTGGTGTTGCAATATAACATAATTTTAATTAGACTTTTTTGTCTGGAACACCAACATGGCCGCCATGGCTTTTGTTGAGTTGTTCCCTGGGGAATGAGTGCAAACGCTCTATACACATTTCATACAAGAGATTCAATATTCTGACATTTGAGTATAACATGTTATTCTTACAAATGAAAGAAAAATTTCAGATGTGATAAATAACATAAATATATTGGAACAGCTCTTAAATCGTCAGTCTTCAGCTACTTTGTACCCAAAATGCTTGTTTTCATGACTACATCGTTTTTACCTGAGCAAAATGCACCACGTCTTTGACCGATGTTCCAGCAGGTGTGTGCGCCACGTACACCGGCAAACGTGTCTAGAAAATTGCGATAGCACAATAAGATAAACAAATCCTTGTTGTTTGTGTGACGTCCGAAGTAAAATTATTTCCACTGGAGCTGGATTACTCTATCACTTATGTTCTGATGTCCATAGATAATGAAAAAAGAGGCCATTCCTTACTTATCCTGCTTTAAATTAGGAAGGATCTACACTAAACTAACTTTATTTATACTGGATAGCTCTATCAGTTCTAGACTTTTCTTCCTAGAGGTCCAATAAGAATCATCTCTTATTGATCCAGTGTTACTACAGGAGGAAACCTAAACTAAACTAACTTTATTTATACTGGATATCTCTATCAGCTCTAAACTGATCTCCTTAGGTTAAGTGATTCAGTAATGTCCTACAGGAGGAAAAGCACTACTTTATTTTGGATAGTTCTATCATTCAACTCTTCTCTAAGAGATACATTAATTAAGGGCCATTGATGTTTGCTATACAGATTGGTAGGAAATGGTGTGAAATTTTGGTAAACAAATAAACAGTAATATTACCTCATTCAGCTGTGCTTTATCATAACCACACATCAAGAACATGATATTTGAACACCATATACTTCCCAAATCATCTTCGCAGACATAACGACCAAGTGAGCGAGTTATGAATGTCGAAGGTAGGAAATCACGAACACCAAAAAGCCAGAAGAGCCACTGAAGGTAATAGTAAAAGTGCAGTGAATATACACGCTATTAACTTGTTTCGTTTTTTTATAGAAAAATATCCATTATTCAAATGGTTAAGCTTTCCATCCTTTCAACCAAGATCAGTTATATTTTTCAATTGTACCAAACTAATAATTAGCAACATTATAATTAATAATTGGCTATAATTAGTAAAGTAGTTTTGTTTTGTTTAATGGAAAAAGGTGATTGGCGAAAAAGTAAAGCTTTCGTTCGATAATTTTGCCTAGAAATGGCAAATGTATAATATTGCCTAGAAATGGCAAATGTATAATATTGCCAAGAAATGTATAATTATAATATATGCACAGAAATGGCAAAATTATAATATGTTTATTGCGATGCAAACTCTACATAGTAGTCTAAAGCTTGTTTCACACTTCAATCTTATTGTGACGCATCGTACAGGCTTTACCATGAGCTTTACCATGAGCATAGCTGTTTTGCAGGCAAATTATTGCAACTCGTTTATACAGGGTGTATAAAAAAGCGCAACCTCGGAATTGCCCAAGAAATCGGCATTATTTTAAAGACAAAAGATTTTAGGCGCCTGGGAATTTAAAATAGCACAACTGTCAAAATCACCGCACACGCGAATGCATATAAAGCAAAATTTATGCATTTATTTAATGCACAACAACAGTAATATGATATATTAGCAATTCTACAGGGTGTCCCAAAAAAAACGAAAACTATTGAAATCACTTATTGTTAAATTTGAATGCCCTACCAAACAGCTGGACGTAATGATGCGTAAAATATTGACAAGGTGCATGTATTAGAATTTAGTTAGGAATATCTCCTGGTAAAGTGCGCGATTTTCTGCTCCTGGGAATTAGAAACAGCTTCTTAAACAGTTTCTTTATGCATAAAATTTACTTATGTTAATCATTTATGCACTCGTGGGAACCAACAGAGCGCTAAGGCATTCAAATTCTAACAATTAAATTGTTATTGGTGATTTCAATAGTTTTCGGGTTTTTTTGGGACACCCTGTATTTCAATTCCCAGGGGCCTAAAATCTTTTATGCTAAGAATTGCAAAGTAATTTCTTAAGAAATTCCGAGGTTGCGTTCTTTTTATACACGTACCCTGTATATGAATTATATTTTGAGCTTTCGCATTGCTATAAGTATGCATTTTGCGAAGATTTCATTTACCCGTTTGGGCATGATCGTTTGTTTATACTTGATAGATGGTTAAGAGCTTTTTACCAGCAAGTAAATCAGCAGTAAATATCACATTTTGGGATAACAAATCTCAATTCCAACGCATCAAAGAGCGAACAAAGCCTCAAGGATTGTATATCGTTCCAGCGTCAAGAAATTAGCTGAATCTGCATGGTGAGTTAGATTTAAATTTGTACTTCTTAGTGTGTTTAGCTTCCTACACATGTTTGCCGCGCAGAGTAAAATGGTTGCTTTATTCTCAAATCGGACGTTGAAGACACATGTGTTTGTATCGGTGAATTTGTTTGGCCGGCTGTATACATGATCACCTATGTGTACAGTGAGACTTGAATGTGGCCAGTGTAAAGGCTGCCAGTTTACACTATCAAAGTTTCTGTGATCACAGTAGGGATTTTGCATAAGTAAATTCTAAGTTTTCAAGGGTTTGTAAGAAATGTTTGAGGGAACTGACTAAGTGTTAAACAATGAGTCATTTTCATCAAAAATGTTTCACAAATTAATATAAAATTTACCTATGCAAATTCATAGCTATACTGTGATCACAGAATATTCCACTATTCAGTATATTTTTGATAGGTTAAATTAAACTATACCATCAATAATGGTTACACAGTCCAGTATATTTTGAGATCTGTGGTTTACACAATCCAGTATATCTCTGAGATCAACGGGTTACACTTTTCGTTGGTTTTTTTTTTCAAATCAATGGTTGCAGTTATCTTGTCTATTTTGAGATCAGTAGGTTAAACTATCTAGTTTATTTTAAGGTCAGTTTTTTACAATCCAGCATGTCAGTGGGTTTTGAGGGAACCGACTCAGTGTTAAACAATGATTCATTTTCATCAAAAATGTCTTACAAATCATTCACAACTTACAAAATTTACCCATGCAAATTCATAGCTATACTGTGATCACAGAATATTCCACTATTCAGTATACTTTTGATAGGTTAAATTAAACTACCATCAATAATGGTTACACAGTCCAGTTTATTTTGAGATCTGTGGTTTACACAATCCAGTATATCTCTGAGATCAGCGGGTTGCACTTTTCGTTGGTGTTTTTCCCCCTCAAATCAATGGGTTGCAGTTATCTTGTCTATTTTGAGATCAGTAGGTTAAACTATCTAGTTTATTTTAAGGTCAGTTTTTTACAATCCAGCATGTCAGTGGGTTTTGAGGGAACCGACTCAGTGTTAAACAATGATTCATTTTCATCAAAAATGTCTTACAAATCATTCACAACTTACAAAATTTACCCATGCAAATTCATAGCTACACTGTGATCACAGAATATTCCACTATTCAGTATATTTTTGATAGGTTAAATTATTAAACAACCCATCAATAAGTTCTTTGTACGATTGCATGGCGATAAAACATATAATAGTTTTGTTTGTGGAAACACCACGTAAATTTATTACTGCAAAGCTTTCGATCCGTAAGCCGGGATCTTCATCAATGCTAATTGTTTCAATAGTCTTTATTTATCGGATGAAATCACAGACAGTAGTTTTTGATATGTCTTTACTAAAACTTAATACAAGTGATATTTGATACGTAATGAGCTAATTATTGTAACATCCTTCCCCTTTTATTAAAATGTTTGTAAATATTAAATCTATCATAGGGTCCGTGCTATTGTTTATGAATCAGAAAATAATCATAGTTAAATCATCCGTTGAATCAATAATCATCTATTACTTCTTAATGTTTAAATAGCAAAATCTTGAAATCTAATTATGTTTGTGATCCTTAAGGATCGAGTCTATTTTTGGATATAATCCTTCAGGTATACAGGAGGTCGTCGTGTTCGTTGTGGTCGTGCTGGTGGCGCTGCAGGAGCGGGGATTTCAGGAATAGGTGCTGCGCCGTTCGTTGAGGTAGTAGTGTTTGATGGTGAAGGTTCAGGGCTTCGTGGCGTAACTTCTGGTTCAGGAGTCTCTGCGTTCTCCTTGCTTTTCTTTAGGTGGAATCTGTTTCTTCTGTATGTCTCTCCGTTTGCCGTTTCAACAATATAGGATCGTTCGTCAAGTCGCGATGCAACTGTCGCTTTTTTCCACACCTTGGATCCTAACTGGAAGGGTTTCATTCGTACAACATCCCCTTTATCAAGTGGGGTTAGAGCACGGGTGTGGGGGTTGTAATACTTAGACTGTTGCTGTTGTCGCTTGCTCAAGTCTTTGATATCTTGGTCTGGGCGGGTTGTTCGCGGCTCCAAAAGGGCTTTGGTTGTTGGCAGTAGAGTTCGCGTTCGCCTATTCATCAGTCGCTGTACAGGGCTTGATTCCATCCCCTGTGTTGGTGTGTTTCGGTAATCGAGGATAGCGAGATATGGGTCAGTTCCTGCGTCTAAGGCTTTGCGGATCAGGTTTTTTGCGGTTTTGACGGCGGACTCGACTTTTCCATTGCCTTTGCTGTTTCCTGGACTGCTTGTTCTCTGCTCGAAATCCCATTCTTTGGAGAATTGTTTGAATTCTGACGAAACAAACTGCGGCCCATTGTCGCTGATCATTCGGTCTGGGCATCCATGCCTGGCGAAATGGCTTTTTAGTTTCAGGATAACGGCTGCGGAAGTAGTACTAGTGAGACGATCAACTTCCCAGAAATTGCTGTAGTAATCTACAGTCACCATGAAGTCTTTCTTGTTCAATTCGAATAAGTCAACTCCTACTTGCTCCCATGGTCTACTTGGTACGTCATGAGGCATCAGTGGCTCTTTTGGGTTACTGGTTTCGAATTTCCGACAAGTTTCACAAGTCGCAATAAGCTCTTTCACTTCGGCGGACATTCCAGGCCAAAATACTGTTTCACGTGCTCTTCGCAGGCAAGATTCGATCCCTTGGTGTGAAGCATGTAGCTTGTGCTTGATGTCATTCCGCAAACTGGTTGGAATGACAATTCGCTGACCGCGGTAGATAACTCCGTCTTGAATTGATAACTCGTCTCTCACGTGAAAATAGGGTGCGACCTGTGTGGGTACTTGGTTTCGTTCTTCTGGCCATCCTCGTAGAATCGTGTTCTTCAGGGGTCTCAATATTTCGTCGACCTCGGTAGCTTGCTGTATTTCCCTAAGTCGTGTTGTGGATATTGGGAGAAAAGTGGCGGCGTTGATGTTTTCAAATTCGGTCGCTGTTGGGTGTGCCGTGCTTGGCAGGTAGGCTCTGGAAAGGGTGTCAGCTAGGTGCATGTTCTTTCCGCGTTCGTAGCGTACCTCATAGTCGTATTTCTGAAGTCTCATCATCATTCCTTGTAGGCGTCTTGGTGCACAGGCGAGGGACTTCTTTAAGATGGACTCTAGTGGTTTGTGATCGCTTTGGATTTTCACGTGACGCCCGTAGGTGTATTGGTTGAATTTCTCGAGGGAAAAGACAATCGCGAGCATTTCCTTCTCGATTTGGGCATATCTCTGCTCGGTGTCGGTTAGTGTCCTGCTTGCATACGCGATGGGTTTACCATTCTGTAAAAGTGCTGCTCCTAATCCTTTCTTGCTCGCGTCGCATTGGATCTCTAATTCGATCTTTGGATCATAGTAACTGAGTACTGGGGCGGTGGACACAAGTCTCTTGATCTCCCGAAGTGCGTTGTCTTGTTCCTCTGTCCAGGTGAACTCGGTATCTTGTCGCGTCAATCGACGTATGGGCTCCATGTGATCTGCTAGACTGGGAAGAAACTTGGCCAAGTAGTTGACAAATCCGTTCAGTCGCTGTACGCCTTCGGCGTCTTCGGGTTTTGGCATTTCTAGGACGGCTTTCGTTTTCTCTGGGTCGATCTTCAAGCCTTGGTTGCTGAATATGTGACCCATGAATGGCACCTCGGTGATGCGCAGCTTTAACTTGTTCTGATTGAGCGCGATTCCTCGTTCTCGGCATCTCTGTAATAGAGCTTCTAGGTTGCGATCGTGATCCTGTTGGGCTTCTTTGTCGGTATCGCCTACTCCGTATACTAAGATATCATCGGTTATGTTGAGGATTCCGTTCAATCCCTCCAGGGCTTGGTTTACGCGCTTCTGGAATATTTCGCTTGAAGCTGACAAACCAAAAGGTAGTCTCTTCCACCTGTATCTTCCGAATGGAGTTGCGAATGTCGTGAGTAGACTGGACTCTTCATCAAGTACGCAGTGCCAATATCCGGCGGTCAAATCTACTGATGAGAATACTTTGGCTCGGGCCAGGTCTGGCATCAGGTCGTCGAGCACGGGTAGGTGGTAGGTTTCTCTCTTCAACGCTTTGTTCAGTGGTCGGGGGTCTATGCATATTCTAAGTGCACCAGACTTCTTCGTTGCGATGACCACACTGCTCACCCATGGTGTTGGCTCATCTACTGTGGCGAGTACTCCCAATTTCTCTAGGCGGTCTAGCTCCTCTTTGTATTTCTCCTTCAGGGCGGTGGGGACTCGTCGCGCTGGCGTAATGATCGGTTCAGCGTTCTCGTCAACCTGTAGATGGACCGTGCCGGGAAGCGTTCCGAGTTCTTTTGAAAACACATCTGCATGGTGGGTTATTAGCTGTTCTGTTGTTCCGATTTTCGTGATCTTGGGCTTTCTCTCTCTCTCAGGTGGTGGAACTGAAACAAATTTATCTTCATGCACAGTGATTAGTCCCATTTGTTGCGCGGTACGTGCACCTATCAGTGGTGTCAGGGTGTCTGGAACAACAACAAATTCAATCGAGTACTTTTTCTTGGTTTTGGGGTTTCTGACTATCAAGCGTGTTGTTCCGAGGGGTTTTAGTTCCGAGTCATTCCACATTTTCAAAGTTTTATTGGATGGTATAATGTTGCTCCCTGTTGCGTAACACTCCGTAATAACATTAATTGATGCGCCGCAGTCAATTTGGAAATTTATCTTTTTGTCATTGATTTTCATCTCAGTGTAAACTTCTTTGGCGAAACCAGACGTTTGTTTTACTGCATTGATAACCGGCTCTTCAGTGATACCCGCAAGAAACTCATACTCGCTGCTGTCATCGCTGCTGTCATCGCGTTGCTCGGATACGTAGTTCACACCTCCGCGCGAAATTGTTTTACCGCAGACGGCTGCGAAATGATTGCGACCATTGCACTTTTGGCAACGCTTTTGCCAGGCGGGACAAAGTTCCTTTTTTCTGGGGTGATTTCGGCCACAAAATTTACAATCTATCGCTGTAATTGCTTGCTTTTTGTTTCCGTCATTCCTGGCATTCCGATCATAGTTTTGTTGTCTAACAGGTTTCAAATTACGTCCAGCATGTTCATGAACTTTATTAACATCATGTATAGTGTTATTGCTACCAGAAATGTTCTTAAGATGCGATGCTGCGGCTTCGCTACTACGACACAAATCAATACACTTCTTGAGATCTAGATTTCGCTCTTGCAAGAGTCGTTTGCGCAAACTGTTATTGTGTATTCCTAAGACGATCCTATCTCTGAGTAGACTGTCAGCTAAACACTCACAAAAACCACACGTTTTCGCTAGGGTTCTTAGCGCGGCTATATAAGCCTCTATCGATTCATCTTGGCCTTGGTTTCTACCATTGAATATGTATCGTCCATACGTTTCGTTTACCTCCCCGATAGTAAATTCGTCAAATTTTTTATGTATGCTGGCCAGAGTATTGCGCTCTGTCTCGTCGGCAAATTGCATCCCATTATAGACTTTCAATGCTTCGGGGCCAATGCAATGTAAAAACAGTGCTACGCGGTATTGCTCTGTCTGGGCTTTTAGATTTGTAATAATAGCGTAGTTCTGCCATACCTGTTTGTAATTTTTCCAGTTCTCTGCTATATTACCATGAGTGATGTCGAATGCTTTTGGCGGTGTTATTCCTTGAATAATCGGTGCGGTTGCGCTTGCTTGTGGCGCATCTGAATTCTCGTCCATGCTTTGTTTGACGCTGGCTGGGTCTTCTTGTCTTCTTAATATTCTTGTAAGCGTGGGCCTTACGCTGCCACCATGTTTCAATAGTCTTTATTTATCGGATGAAATCACAGACAGTAGTTTTTGATATGTCTTTACTAAAACTTAATACAAGTGATATTTGATACGTAATGAGCTAATTATTGTAACACTAATAATATGTAATTATGTATTATATGTATTACATATTATATGTATTACATATTATTAGCATTGATGAAGATCCGGGCTTACGGATCGAAAGCTTTGCAGTAATAAATTTACGTGGTGTTTCGACAAACAAAACTATTATAACCCATCAATAATGGTTACACAGTCCAGTTTATTTTGAGATCTGTGGTTTACACAATTCAGTATATATCTGAGATAAGCGGGTTGCACTTTTCGTTGGTGTTTTTTTTTTCAAATCATTGGGTTGCAGTTATCTTGTCTATTTTGAGATCAGTAGGTTAAACTATCTGGTTTATTTTAAGGTCAGTTTTTTTTACAATCCAGCATATCAGTGGGTTTTTGAGATCAGGCATACCGTACAACTTACCTGTATTCCACCGCTAAAGTAAGAGAGATATTTGATAGGACTTATCATATTTCCCACCGTGGCTACCGGAGCGAGGGCGATGAACAGATCGACTTTCGCAGCCAGAGTTTGATTTTGAGAGAAAGCGGCGAAACCGATGGTCGTGCCTTGAGAATGACCAATGTATGAAATATGTCTTTGCTTTGAGCAAGCCATGGCGAACTCAAGCGATGCAGGGAGATCGTATTTTGCAAATTCATCAAAACTAAAAAATGGTAAAGATTTTATATTAACCGTGACAATAGACAAAAGACAATTCCCATTATAGACTAATTTTAAAACTACGCAAGGAGATGCAAATACATCACCACAGCTAGAAAGAGCATACTAAAATTAGTAAAATTGCAAAGTTTGCATGGTTGCGAAATGTTGTAAAATGCGGAAAATGTAGCCTTGCAAAGTTTGCAAATTTTGTATAATTTATTTTGTATTGTGTGCGGAAATTGCTTAATATACAAACTATACAAAAGTGTCAATGTTAGTCCAATTGTGAGCTGTGAGATTACAACGGATTGTTTTATTCCGTTACCTGAAATCCCAGAATTTGTCAGAATCCGTTGACATGCGTTCGTGTTTCAACGCGTACGCGTTCCCACGCGAGTTCCCGAGCCAGACATCAAAACCACGATCCGCCAACACAAAACCGAGGCTCTGATTTGGTAGATTTGTGATCCACTGACTGGACGATCCGAGAAGGCCGTGCTGCAGAAAAACCACAGGTCTCTTGGTCCCAGTCTCGTTATCGTATCGACCGCGTGGGATTCTTTGAACCGTGAGGATGTAACCGTCCGATGTTGTGACGTCATATTCTTCCACAGGGTACCCCCAGTGTTGAATAATCTGAGACTGTCGTAGAAAAGAAATAAATAGTTTTGAGGAAAAATTGTTTGGTATCTGATTCTGAAACAGAGAAGTTTGTCAGAAAACAAAACGACACTCGGGTGACCTGAGACTCGGAATGTTGTTTTGTTTCATTACCCTATTTAAATAAAAGTTTCTATCTATTGTTCCACAACATCGACTCACTAAATATAAATCTGATATCTAAAGCTTCGCCTGAGGAAATTCGTTTTTGATTTTGGTAGTTTTAAATCCGTTACCAGATTGCGTAAATTGTAACCTCGACTATGTTATGATGCTTGTGATGTTACTCTGAGTGTATATCCACACCGGGCGAGCTTGAAAAATATGCCCGGCCACGGTGGGAAGCTCGCCCGGTGTGGATATACACTCAGAGTAACATCACAAGCATCATATTATTCACCTGAGTGCACAACACCACTGAACACAGAAAAATAACTCGACTATGTTATTATTTTGTTAATGTCTTCTGAGTTCGTCTCCGCGGCACGCGTTCACTTGTACAACACGGATCTTTTAAATTTGCATATTTCCATACTCCCTAAACGAATCGATTTATCATCCCGGCTCCTATGAAACCCGACTCCCATAACCGGGTCACCCCGGCTCCCACAGCCCTCATGAAGAAAAACTTTAAGGGTTATTGAAAGTTTTGCATCCATACAAAAAACAAAACATTTTAAATTCACTTTTTCTATTTTATGAATCATGTATAATTATATTTCACCTCTATTAGCATTGTAGATGAGATATTAAAACTATAGCTACGATATGCATCAGTTTTAACTTTTAAAGTTTATTTATGTTCAAGCCCGTTAAAGGTAGAGTGATACCAGCAACAAAATTCCCGCCACTAACACGAATGGAAATTGGGAAAACGAGAAATTGCGTGTTTTCACACAATTTCGAGTTTTCCCAATTTCCACTAGTGCTGATGTAACTTTAATCTTTATATCGATGCGGAAAAATGTTTTATATTTTTTTATAATATAGCACAAAGAAATATAAAGAAAGAATTTTTTTGTGTTGACATTGAGTTATGTCAACACGACCCTTGACCAATCAGCGTTCAGAATTTACAAATGCTATATTATAATTTTTTTATATAGCACAAAGAAATATAAAAAAGAAATTTTCCGTGTTGACATTGAGTTATGCCAATATGGCTATACTCATGGCTCTTAGTCAATCAGCGTTCAAAATTTACAAATGCTATATTATAAATGCTATACTATATAAATGCTATTTGAGATTATTATTTAAGTTTGCCAGGCAGGCTTTTATAGAAATTTATTTCATATACTGTACATATGGGAAGTTCCTTCATAAGAAAGTGATACTTTTTTCCCTTACAACAGCGACAGGACCACTTGGATGAGACTTCATTTTGGGGCTTTCAAATTCACTGTCAATTTTCTTACCAAAGAACGTAACGGTCTCCAGTTCACCTGCTTCAGTGTAGCACAGAAGGAAAAAGGATTTCTTTTTCTCGACATAGGTTAAGACAATTATTTTGCAAATGACATAATGAAATGCCAACCTACAGACCTTGTGACCTTCTGGTAGTTTTATTGGCGACTTTCGATTTCCTTCCTCGGAGTATATCTCCACAGCCCGTTCATCGTCTGATGGTATCATGATTTCATCCTGCCCACAAATACCCAAGCTGTGTGCATAACGCGAGTCTCGTTCAAACTTGTGTTTTAATTCTCCAGTATAGTGAAATATATACCCCTGGGGATCGTTACCTTTGATCATGACGACATCATTGTTCCTGTTTATAGCGATCCTGATATTACATCCTGTCGCCTCCAGAAATTCCAATCTGCGCGAGTCCTGTTTCACATTGTAGTTCTCGTCCAGTACATCCAACACGTAACTTTCCAGATAGCTATTTTCCGTAAGTGATTCAAGCCTCAGTCTCACTACGTAAACATTGTTATTCTCATCAACAGCAACTCCTTTTATACGCTGATCGATAACTGTGCAGTCACCGAGTTCTGGTAATTTAACCACCTTGCTTTCACCTTTCTTTACGATTTTAATCTTGTCAGGGTATTCTCCAACAATAACATCCCCATGGCCGTTCACAGCAGAACAATAAGGATCTATTCCTTCATTAAGCATCAGTATGTTGGGAAGTTGAGTCAGTTCATCACCCATAGACGTTCTTGTCGAAACCTCCTGCCAATGCAATATTGGGTTAAAACTACGAGCAGCAAGTTCAATTGTTGCCCAAGCGTATGCGGAAGAATACTTAACGCTGAATTTCAAGACATACTTGAACACAACGTAATTGATCATCATTACCGACTTGACGTTTTCTACTCTTTGGGCTTTATTCAACATCGATTTGACTCCTTTGTTTAGATACACGTTGAACATCTCCTGAACCGCAGGTAAGGCGTGCAGTTTTTTCAAAGACGACAAATACCCCGGAATTGCGGTTTCAGGAGTTGCGAGGCATTCGAGTATCTCGGAAACTACCCGTATCTTCGCGGCTAGCATTCTATCATCAATACGTAGAGACTCAATACGAAAAGCATGGGTCGCAGCCTTGCGGGCTTCTTTGAATCGTTCTAGAGCTGATTCAAACTCCTTATCCGCCTTGATTTTTAGTTCTCCCATGGCTTGCGAAAGTTCCAAAGCTTCGCTTAAGATGCCAGACTGAACGCCAGTCGGATTTGTTGCAACTCGACCATCTTGAGCTCCACTTGCCAAAGCTTTCTGCTCGAGCTTCGATTTTTCAAGCGAAACATTTAGTAAATCTACTCCTTCTTGTAGGAAATCGTAGCTGCTGAGCAGATCTTTGCGTGAAAGACCATCGAGTTTCGTCTTGACGTCGGTCAACTCTCTTACGACGAGCTCGCGAATTTTTGCATCCGTTACATCGCCTTCCTTCAGTTTAGCCGCAGTCGAGTCGCGAGCTTTATTCACGAGTAGACCCACTGTTGAACATAGAATATTTGTGACAATTGATGCCATACTGAACTGCTATACTACTAAACTTACTCTAAATAAACAATATGCCCAAGCACAATCGCTCACGAAATATAATTCAACCTACTGTGAAATTTCCATAAAGTATATTATGGCTATATAGCGTGTATGATGGAATATCTGTGGCATCTTCTTCCTGTCACTTGACACTCGAACTACCATTGCTATGAAAGAGTATGACGTCGTGATGTATTAAGAAGGCGGGATTTCAAGGCTGTTTAGCCGGTTTACAATATCGAAGTTTCTTTGCTTAAAATATAGGTTTGGATAACCAAACATTTCTTTTATTTTGAAACATAAGATTATACTTTGTCTCGTATACCGTCTGGTTACATTTCTTTCATCTGAGATATAAAAAGTTAACTGTTTTAAATACTGTACGTGTATTGCTGCACATGTCATATTTTTGAAAATTTGCATTGAATTTGAATTTGAATTATTCATATCCTTCAATCATATTTAATCATCCAGATATTTTCACTTAGTAATGGCTATATACACGACTATAAGCAATTATAACGCTTTTGTTGCAAAATATAGTTTAAGATGGTCTTAACAATTTTTGAAACTCATTTAAAGTTGTCTACCACGATTGGTTTAATTGTTCCTAATGTATTCTTGTGGTTTTTATACATGTATCTATATATACCGACTCTGTTATTTATGTTGATTAAATATTATTATATTTATTACGAGACACTAACCCAACCCAGCTAATTAGAGGCTGATCACATGAGCCTGAGTTATAAAATTCACCTGTAAGTGCATGAGATGATAAAAGAGCCTGGTCACAATATTGCATTGAAAAATCATTGTCTATTCATATGAGAAATGAGCCCTACCCAGCTAAGGGGCTGATCACATGAACCAGACTCACCCGATGAGAGCTTAAAAAGATCATTGTTTATTCATATGAGAAATGAGCCCCACCCAGCTAAGGGGCTGATCACATGAACTAGTCTCACCCGATGAGAGCTTAAAAAGATCATTGTTTATTCATGTGAGAAATGAGCCCTACCCAGCTAAGGGGCTGATCACATGAACCAGACTTACCCGATGAGAGCTTAAAAAGATCATTGTTTATTCATATGAGAAATGAGCCCTACCCAGCTAAGGGGCTGATCACATGAACCAGTCTCACCCGATTGAGAGCTTAAAAAGATCATTGTTTATTCATATGAGAAATGAGCCCCACCCAGCTAAGGGGCTGATCACATGAACCAGACTTAGCCGACGAGAACGTAAAAAGATCCTTGTTTATTCATACATGAGAGAAAAAGTCATTGTCTATTCACATGAGAAACGATCCAGTCCAACTAGATTAAATCTAACCTCGCGTTATAGAGTGCTAAAACTTTCTTATTTGAGATTTGTATTTTTAAAACAGTTTTTTTATTGCCTTATAAAAGGCATTTTACTGTAATTGTTGCGTTGCCTATCAGCAATAAAGGACTCAAATTTGACTTAAAAAGAGATTTTACTTATGAAATATATTGAACTTCTACGTCTGACGAGGTTGCTATGCGTCGCTAGAGAAAATACAAGTGAACAATCAGAATTGAAAGCCGTATTATAATTACTGAAGCAATTGATACAAGGTATGTAATGTGGGCGCGTATGAGGTAATAGCATAATTAATAACAGTTTCAATATTAAGTTTTAAGTTTTTAAAAATGTAAATAATCCGAAATTGCTCTATGAAATCAAAAATAGCTTTGAGAGCATTTCTGAATTGCAATCGGAAATCTCCGATTGGATAGACTTCTCTTGGTAAACATCGAACGATCAGATGACCGGTGTTTCATCCCTTCTATTATTAATTTATCAATTATTAAAGATACTATTACCTCATACGCGCCCGCATTACTTATCTGTTGAGGATTGTATAGTACTTCATATAGATAATATTTTTTGCTCTTTCTCTGTTGACATTTTTGGGAAGAATTGATGCAAATCTTTCAAAGTAAGTTTAATGTTTTGATTATTTTACACTTGTAGTATACTGATAGTATAGTTGAGCCCCCTGTGGCACGTCGCTTATATTTTGTGCTCTGCGCATAGTAAGCGCGCACGACCACAATGCAATGCGCTAAATAAAATTTAATTCAAAATCCCCTCTGCACATATTAGAATGCTGCTTCGCTCATTTGCTTCAGGCTCGCTCGCTACGCAACAAATATATGGAAAGTTAATCCTTTAACTGAAAATGGTGCTTTTCCCCCTTACAATAGCAACAGGACCACTTGGATGAGACTTAATTCGGGGGCAATATTCACCGCTAATTCTCTTGCAAAAGAACGTTGTGGTCTCCAGTTCACCTGCTTCAGTGTAGCACAGAAGGAAATTGGAATTGTTTTTCTCGACATAGGTTAAGACAATTATTTTACAAATGCCATAATGAAATGCCAACTCACGGACCCCGTGACCTTCTGGTAGTTTTATTGTTGACTTCAAATTTCCTTCTCCCGAGTATATATGCACAGCCTGGTCTTCGCCTGATGATATCATGATTTCACCCTGCCCACAAATACTCAAACTGAGTGCATAACGTGAGCCTCGCAATTCAAACTTGTGCTTTAATTTTCCAGTATTATCACAGACATATACCTGGGGATCACCGCCTTTGATCATGATGATATTATTATTCTTGTTTATAGCGATCTTCACATAATAATTTGATACCTCCAGAAATTCCAATCTGCGCGAGTCCTGCTTCACATTGTAGTTCTCGTCCAGTACAGTCAACACGTAACTCAGCACACTGCCATTTCCCGTACTTGTTCGAATCCATCTCACCACGTAAACATTGTTATTCTTATCAACAGCAAGTCCTGCAATATTTTCCACGATAACTTTAACTTGACTGGCTTCATGTAATTCAACCACCTTGCTTTCGCCCGTCTTATTTATAATCTTGATGTTGTCAGGTTCTTCTCCAACAATAACATCCCCACGGCTGTTTAGAGCAGAATTTCTAGGATCCATTTCTTCATTAAGTATCAGTCCGTTGGGAAGTTGGGTCAGTTCATCACCAATAGATTTTCTTGTCGAAATTTCCTGCCAATCTAATATTGGGTTAAAACTGCGATCAACAAGCTCAATTGTTGGCCAGGCGAGCATGGTGAAGAACTCACTGCTGAATTTCGAAACATACTGAAATAAGACACCGTTAACCAGCATTGCCGACCGTACGTTCTCGACTCGCTCGCTTTTATTCAGTAACGACTTCAGCCCCCCATTGAGGTACACCGAGAATGTGTCTTCAATGGCAGGTAAGCTATGTAACTTTTTCAGAAACGATAGACATCCTGTAATCGCGGTTTCAGGGCTTTCGAGATATTCCAGTATTTCGGAAACTATTCGTAGCTTCGCAGCGAAAATCCTATCTTTAATGCTTAGTGCCTCATTACAAAAAGCATGGGTCGCTGTCTTACGGGCGTCTTTGAATCGTTCTTTAGCGGATTCAAACTCTTTATCCGAATTGATTTTCAATTTTCCCATGGCGTGAGAAAGCTCTAAGGCTTCGTTTAAGATCTCAGACTGTCCGAGCTTCAATTTATTCAGCGAAACATTGAGTAAATCTACTCCTTCTTGTAGGAACTTGTAGCTGCTAAGCAGGTCTTTGTTGCGCAAGAGAGCATGAAGCTTCGTCTTGATGTCGTTTAACTCGCTCACGACAATCTCTCGAATGTTTTCATCTGGAACTTCGCCGCCTAGAAGTATAGCAGCAGTGGAATCACGAGCCTTGTTCCACAGCAAACCTACGGTTGAGCTCAAGATGCTTGTGACTATGGAAGACATGGTAGTTTCAGTTCAATGATTAAAACGATGAAAGGGTTCTTGCTATATGTCTCGCTCGATGAAGTGTTGTCGATTGAAATATTTTACATGATGCAATGTTCATTTATCATTGCTAAATATCTTCCACAGTTTACTTACAATACTTGGTTTGAAAAGGCAACATGGGAGGTAAGAAATTATCTTTAGCATTTGAATGGAAAATTGGTTTTGAATTGCGTCGGCACATTTCATTGAACCATTCAACCGATGAACTGCATAATGACGATATAGCCAGTTGTAAAGACTAAAGTGATTCTCACATTTGATTTTTTAAATAAAATAGTTGCTACAAAACGGGCATGTTATTTCTTCTATAAAAGTCGAAAACTTAGTCGCGTAGATGATAGTTTAAAAACAGGCACTATAGATAATACCATAACATGCAACTTTCCCACTTAGCGTGGGTGTTCATTAATTTGATTTTCGTACTTTCTGCATGGTAGGACACAACGAATATACATACATATGCAAAATATACGAATATACATACAGTATGGCAAAGTGTCCAGCGTTGTCGATCGTAATGCGAAATTAACAAAATCACGAAAGTGTGTGACAGTGTAAACGTATTTCAAAGACAATTTACATTCCAACCTCTTGATAATGTCATGCACAGTGCTACTTGGCGTGTAATATCTATGGTATGTTCTTCCCGCTTATATAAAGTGCACGTGTTTTTTGAAGATGTTTTAAATATCATATCGTGGAGAAAAGATTCTTTGTGAAATTGCAAATTATTTTCAAGAGAAAACATAAACCACGCCTTTCTGTTGAAACTTGTAGCTTAATTAAGCAAGTCTTTGTGCACAAGACCCGGCTAAGTTTGATGTTGATGTCTTTTAAATTGCACTATATATTAAAGTTTCTGCGTTAAAAATGTCTTCACCAAAATGTGCATGTAATATAGTGTAAACTGCTTTTATAATGATATAGCTTTAATTTAAAAGTGCTTTGAATTGCTACTGTAGTCAGTATATAGATATCTGTACATTGCGTTGATGTATGCGCATATGATTAGCCAGATTAAGTTGTACTTTATATTGGTTTTAGGGAAGCCTCACATATCGATTTTCTCCATGAGAAACGTCATATGTTCGTTTCTCTGGAGACCCCCCCCCCCCCTTAAAAACGTCACACATAGTTATCGATATTTTGTTCTTTCAGTATAGTACGCATAAGGTAATTTTCTACTATTTTTTTCGGTCGGCTATTGGCGATGCTTCCGCGAGGAATATGTCATCTTCTGCTGACATACTCTTTTTTTATTAATATATATATATATAAACTTCAAAATTTCCAACGTTTCTCAAAACAACTTTTTTTGCATGAAATATTGATAATTTTAGCGCGTATTTCTTGAAATTTGAGTGTTTTCAAATACAAAGAAGGCGTAATAAGGGA